CGTACTGACATAAATGAACATTTGCACGATATTCTAATTTTTCGAGTTTCACCTGTAGTTCTTTAATGGCTTTTAAGAATGGAGGGTGGTGATGGTTTACTACAACTGGGATCTTTGGACTTTGGGTCAACTGAAAATGCCATTTACCATCTTCCCTCTCCTGGGTATATCGAATTTCCTGCAATGAGAAAATTTGCTGTTAGAGGGGGAGAAGTACAGGTAGTCCTCGAGTTACAACCATTCATTCAGCAACTGTTTAAAGCAGTGGTTTCTCAACCTTGGCAACTTGCAGATGTGTGGACTTCAACTGGCCGGGTAATTCTGGGAGTTGAAATCCACACATCTTCAAGTCACCAAGGTTGAGAAACACTGCTTTAAAGTTATGACGGCACTGAATGAATGATACTTACTCCCAGTCCCCAAAGTTATGGCCAGTGCAGTGCCCCTGTGGTCACATGATCAAAATTTGGGTGCTTGGCAGCCCGTGCACACTTACAACCGCAGGGGCGCTTCATCTCCCCCCACCTGCCTATCTCCCCCCATCTCTGCCCTTTTGGCTGCCCTGCACAGTGGCACTCCTTGGTGGCAGTGCTGGGGCTGAAGTAGAGGCCCGGGGCCTTCAGCAGCCTCAGCCAGCTGCCACCAGGTCTCTACTTTAGCCCCAGCACCGCCGCCAAGGAGTGCCACCTCAAGCCCCATGCCGCGGCCAGCCACCCCAGCACCACAGTGTAAAGCCCCAGCCACCCTGCCCTCCTCTCACCATACCTGCCTTCTGGCCTTGCCACATGTGCTCTATTGGCCCTACCAGCCTGCCAGCCTTGCCACCCTGTGCTTGCTGGCCCTGCTGTTCTCCAAATTGCACGGGCCCTTCTCACGATACTTCAGAAAGCCTTTGGAAACATTCTGAAGCCTTCCAAAGCATTGCAAGAATGGCCCACACCATTTGGAGAATGGCAGGGCCAGTGAGCATAGGCCGGCAAGGCCGGCAAGGTGAGCAGAGCGCAGGGTGACAGGCTGGCAGGGCCAGCAGGGTGGCAGGGGAGCAGACCACAGGGCAGCAAGGCAGCAGGGTCGGCAGGGCGAATGGAGTGCAGGGTGGCAAGGCCAGCAGAGATGGCAGAGTGCAAGATGGCCAAAAGGGCAGAGATGGGGGGAGCTGAAGAGGAAGCAGTCCCTTACCTTATCGATGCTCAGGGCTGGGAAGAACCAAGCCTTGCGTGGCTTGGATTGGGGTGGGTCCTTGCCGAACAACTGGTGGGATTTGGTTAACAATGGCAGTAGGGATTGCTGCGATTGCCATTATTAAGTGTTGTGGTCATGTGATGTCGCGCTTTATGACTGCAACAGTTAGCAATGGAAATTCTGGTCCCAGTTACTGTTGTTAACGGAAGACTATCCATAAAGAGTCTGAAACAAAGTGTTACGCTGTATCTCAAGCTCCTCATAGTACATAATTCCAGGTACCTGGAGCAAAACCTCTTTCATATTATTCTGATTTAATGGGACTGAGGAATTTTAATGAAGTGAAAAATGAAAAATATATAGATGCTTTTTTCCTCAATCCTCTTAAAATCTTTCTCTGTTTTGCTAGGTTGCTCCAAGATCTCAGATTGTCATTTTATAATGAGCAAGAGCAGTATCTTTATGGTTGAGGAAAACACTGAGCATGTGTCTTTGCACTGGTATTATCTAGCTAGTTCGGTCTGTTTGCATGAACCGGTTGTTATACTACTATGCAGAAACATTACTCTATATTTGTTTTGCAGTTGTGACTGAACTGTGACACAGAATTACTCACCTTTGTTTTACTTGCTTGAACTCATTTACTGCATCATGGGATTTGGGCTTTTTCATCCAGACATCTAGTGGTTGCATGCATACATTTTAATAGGGCCCTTCTTGGCTGCCCAGCTGTATGCCAGACTAAGAGACTGGAGATCTTACACTGAGCTATTTTTAAACCTGCACTTGGGCTGGAGGCTTGGATATACCCAGCATGAAAATGGGGCCAAAATAAAAGGGTTCTGACAAAATTGCTAGCCCTGTTCCTTTGTTAAAATTAAGCATTGTCCAGCTTCTGTTTCTTGAGGAAACAGAAATTTTGTACTTTCATTTGAAGAAAATGTTGAAGAGAAAACTACAAACAACACACAGGAATATTTTCATGTTCACTTTGCTGCAACAGAAGAGCCTCCTTGTACCTCCTCCCTGACTCTGGTGACAAAACTTTTGGCAGGAATATTGTATTTGCCTAGCATAGGAGAATACACAGTAGAGTTAGTGGCAAAGATAAGGGCAGAAATAAATAATAGTCATGACACCACTGCTAGTATTAGCTGTGCAATAGTAATAATAAATAATACCTTCAGTTAGCAACTGTTGACCTACACCAGTCACCTTAGCGTATATCCAATATCCCAAGTTACTTTCATCTCCAAAATCAAAAAATAAAAAGAAGGGAGTCTATTTCCTCTGTGAGCCCTTTTCCTTGATTTATTGTCAGAACCAGTTGGTGCCTAATTTATGTAACACCCCCTGTCCTATATTCCCTCTAAGGTGTGCACACAGAATTCAGGAAACCTGCACACATGATAAAAAGTTGAGCACATATAAAATTGAGTAGTAATAATAATAATAATAATAATAATAAAAAATCACCAATCACCATTAAACTCCAGGCTCACAACTCATGATCAGTCCTACACAAATTCACTGCCTTGGTTTAACTGAAGCAGCGAACTGAAGGACTGAACAAGAATACCACATGACCAGAGTTCCCACTTAGTCCACAGTGTGGCAAGTGACCCTCATTGCTGCAGTTAAACTGAGGTGGTGAACTTGTGCCTTTTGCCTAGAACAGCTAGCAGCAGACCTTTCCCAGCCTTGCAGTAGTAAACAGCCTGCTCTGGACCCCTGAATCTGCAGCACATGAAAAAGCATTTCCCTCTAAAACAAGGTTTAATTCATATCCCTCTCCCATCCCCCCACCCCCAAGAAAAGGTTAGTTTTCCTCATCCCTTAATTTTCCTCCTCCCTCCAAAAAAGGTTTAATATCTGTTGAGTTTCAGGCTGCACAAGATCTATGAT